CAACCTATCATTCTAAGTTACACAAACACTTACATAAAAGCTTCACTTAGACCTCAGATAAAATGTTCTTGATTAAAAGGGGACAACTAGAAAAAGAAAGACATTCTTTAGTTTACATTTATGTACACATTTCAAAGCCAAGACCTTGAAACTCATTTTATTTGTTACACACAGCAGATTTCAGCTTCAGTATGCATTGCATTAGCTGTCCAGGCAGATTAAAGCCTCTCTATTCCCTCGCCTTTAATTTTTGTGTGCTGCTTTGTGGAAGGTGCCAACTTCAGAACAGACAGTTCTGCAAAGAAGGAGATGGGGGTGGGGAACATAGCACTTTAGAAAATTTAAATAGGACTTGTGATCAGAATAATCCATAAAAGGGAGCATTTCAGAAGAACACGTTACATCTTTTTTGCTTGATTTTAAAATAAATCTTAGTATATGTGCCAAGGCAGGATATCTGAATACAATATCAATGGATATCAAAATATCAATTTTCTACATCTGAATCCCAAACTAGAAGAACATCTTAAGTTTATTCCCTTCCCTTTTTAGCTTCAGAATAATATAAGTATCTTCCTCATTAAAGAGTTGTATTTTCTCCTCCCCCCTTTCTGAACGTATCATAGCACCAGGAAAAGCATTTCCTTTCAAACTAAACTTTGTGTGATAGAAGAGCAAGCATACAAAAGCAAATGAAATTAAACTTAACAGTAACCAAATCTAACTTCCAAAAAAACCTGGGGCTTCACTAAAACTGCTTTAAATTCCTTTATCAAACTTGAGAGATAACTGTAAGTCTTTGCTGATCATTGACAGAGCTTTTCTATTTTGGGGGCTTCCGTTCCTCCCTCCCCAGAGTTGGAGAAAAAAAAAGATACAGTGCACATTTTTACATTCTCTAAGCCTGCAGTTGTTTTTATGTAAGAAGCAATTTGTTTGGGTCATATCAGGTCAAACGGGAAGCCTGCCCAGCTCTTGGTTTTAAAGGAAAAACTTACAGAAAAACACAAAAACACAGCAGTTTCCTTCGTTAAATTCCACTCTACCTGCTATGGGCATGAAGCCACAATGGAATTTCCCACCCTGGCTGAGGGCAGCAGAACTTATATTTTAGAGCATTTTGGCAATTTATAGAAAAAATATTGCTTTCAAGCTAACTTTGAGTCAAAGCTATTAATACTCGGCATAGGAGTGCTCTAAAATTAAATAATGAAAATACAGACCAACTGGATTTGGGCTGAGTCTGAACGTTCTTAATTGGAGACAGCCTCCTTTGGTGCTCCATAACCTGAAGTAGTCCCACAAAAGTAAATTCACTTTTACTAGATTAAAATTTAAGACTACAAAGTTACTTTTATTTTGTTAGACCATTAAATCATGTCGTGTCTTTGCATAATTTCTTTGATTGTTGTGAGCTGCCCAAAGTCATCTAGAGTCAATTGCATTAAAGTTTAATATATTATCACTGACTGCATTATTAGCCAGGTGTTTAGACTGCATTTGGCCTTTTTATCCACTATCAAGTCCTTCCCAAGGATCTGGGTTAGGCAGAAGTTGTTTGATGGCATTGTCACAGGATATAAACTGTTCCAAGTAAAACTGCCTTTTGCAATTGACTGATATTATTATTATTTGGCAGCAGTAGTTCTCCAAGTTCAAGAAGGAGGGGTTTTTTTTTTTTTGCAGAGGTAGTTGGTGATGAGTGTTTTACTAGGAATCTTATCCCTTCCTATTTCCATGGCCATTATTGAACTACAATCCAGATATTAAATAATGAATACTTTTAGGTATATATGAAGAAATATCTCAGACCAAAAATCATACTGTACATTTTTCTAACTAGAAAAGATATCTTATAACAAAATCAGGCCCCACTGCCCAATAATTACATTGAAGTAGGAAACGAAGCAAACAAAGATCAAATGAATACACCATTTTTATTCTAATGCACAAGTGATACTATATTGTCTATCTTTCTATTCCATAATGAAAAGCAAAAGAAAAGACCTGATTAGACTAGTGTCTAAAAATAATGTAGAATTCTTTCTTCACATATTATTTTCCCACTTAAAAGAACCTGTGTGTTATATTTTTCCTTCAGTACAACAAATAGTTTGATAGAAAGTGAATCTACATCTGTAAAATAATAGTAGGCTAAGTACCTCTCCATATTGAATTGTCCTTCAAGTTCCTACTTTAGAATTAAAATAAAAGTTACAGGATCTCTCAAAGGCGAAGTTTTATTTGCTATTGCAGAAAAGTTAATCAAAAGGACTGGAATGTGGTCCCAAAAGAGTCTTTAAGTTAATCATGGATCCAATACTTTCTTCCAGTGAAATGCAAAATATGAATTAGAACTCCCATGAAAATGCATGTGCAAAGCATATGAAATTTGCACTTTGCACCTTACAGAACCCTTGCAGGAATAAATAGTCAATAAATAACTTTATATTTACAAGATTGTGATACTGCTTTGAAACTGCCCTTTGTTGTCTCTACACGAATGAGACACAACTGAAAACCAATTCTGTGGCAAATCTAAAGTCTGCAAATGAATTGGCTGCTTTAACAATCCAAAAACAGATGATTCATAGGCACTCATGAATCTTTTTTGAGAACCTTTTAAAAATATTTTTCTTAGCTTTAATGTCAAATATATGTGTGACCACTAGCCTAAAACAGAAAAGGCTGATCAGTGCATTGTCAAAGCTAGGCATATCTTCTAACTATCAACGATGCCTTACTTAAGAACCAATTGCCCAAGACAAAGGATTTATTCATTCAGTATAATGATGTCACAAGAGAACTTAATGTTTTCAGCTTAGCAACTACTTAACATTAACAGATTGGCACTTCTCAATTCAAAAACCCACTCCATCTATGAGCTGAACATTAGATGCATGTTCATATGATTAATATGCTGCTGGGCTGTATCATTACTTCTTAGTATCTTCTCAAAAGTAATTTACAGATTGTAGGGCATCTGAGGCTACAGAACACAAACTGGAATATGTTTAAAGCAACCCCCATTATTTATGCTTATGTTTCTCCATGAAAGAAAGAAATTATCAAAAAGTAGAAATAAACAAACGGTACGACAATGCTTTTAAAAGGTCTGTGCCTTACTGATTTTACAATATAGAATTGCAAGTCAGGAAAATGGCTGTAAAGAACTAGAAAAAAGAAAACCGATTTAAACATTAATTTAATAAACAGAAAATATGACTTCAGCAACAGAGTGGTAGATGCCTGGAATGCACTACCTGACTCTGTTATTATATCTCCAAACCCCCATAATTTCAACCTAAGACTGTATTGTTGACCTCACCCCATTCCTAAGAGATCTGTAAGGGGCGTGCATAAGTGCACCAGCATGCCATTTATTCGTACTCATTTATTGTGTTCATATTTATGTTTATACTTATACCTGTTATCTTTTACATGTTTGACAAACTATATAAAATAAAATTAATTTCAACACAATGAGAAACTCAAAGAAATTCACTTTTCCCCCAGATTGGCTTTCAGATATCTATGAATGGGCTAAATATGGGACCTTGAAAGTAACTTGAATTAATAAATCAGTTGAAAGAGAACAATAGATTAACTAACTAATCCATTTCTTCACATCAATTCTTCTCAGATGCTGTTCTCTTGGTGTTGTATTTTAAGTGATTTAACT